TAGTTTCCGTGTTTTCTGTCTCCCAAGAATCCAAATAACCTGGATATGTAGAAATTAAATAACCCTGAAAGCCGAGTGGCCAAGAAGTGACCCCTCAAAGGAGACTGTGCCAGCTGGAAGGGTCTAGTACCCGAACGCAAGGCAACAGGACCCTGTGAGCCCGAGAGAGATGATAGGGTTTCCCTTCATTATTCATGGGCAAAGAGGCTTCTTAGCCATCGCTGTGCTTGTTCTGATCGTGTCACACCATAGAGTTTATTCTTAGTCTTAGCCACAGCCTTATAAATAATAAAATGGGTCATGTTTTATCTTACCCCAGTGATCACTGTAATGCGGCTTTCAGCTGAGACTCTGCCAAGCTCTTGACACGGGCAACATTTCGAAGCAGATAAGATGATTGAAGAGCGCAGTACAAAAGTAGGCTCGGCCCTTCCCCAAAACACGTGCTTCCCAAGAGTGATGGCGGTGGGTTTGCAGTGTTCCCGCTGCTTTGGAAGGGAAGAAAGGAGAGAAAACTGGAAAACTGAGGATGTGGCCAGTCTATCCAGTTAGGAAGGGCTGGGCTGGCGCATCTGATGTGCGTTAATTGTGAAAGCGCTTTGCTGGTACTGAAAACCAGGGCTTTTGTGGAAACGCTAAATGTCTGGCCTGTAATTTCCAGGAAGGGGAGGTATCTGTGTGGATGGGCGAGAAGGTCTACGTGCACAGGTCTTGTGGTTACAGCCTCGGAGGCTGACGTAGGATAGATGCGTGACGCATTGCAGTTGAGGAGCTTGCGGGGTTTTGCACTCTGATTGCCATGGTAATGCCATTAGCGCGCTCATCAGCGACGGGAAAGCCAAGGTACAGAGGTAACAACCCACCCAAAACTGTAGGAGAACCTGTAGCAAAACTGGAAGTGGCCCCCGGGAGCCCAGCCATGCTTCCCACCACGCTTCTTGGAGGAAGAGAGTTTTTCTCCTGGAGAGGGGAAAAGTTAGTTTGCCGTAACGCTGGGTTCCTGAAAACGTACCACGGACCATATTTACCCTTTCCAAAGGATTCTCCTGCTAAGGAACTGGGTACAATTAATAGCAAAGTGCTTTTTAGAGAAAACTGCAATAAACAGGTCTGTACATGCGCAAGCAAGAAGGCTTTTGTGGGGCTGCTAAAAATGACACTTTTCCTTAAGACCTGGGTGTTCTGTGAAGGATTCACACCTTTAGTCTTTGCTAACAAGCAAATTGAGCATGACCAACGGCAAAAGGGCTGAATACAATACACCAGTGTCCCGTTCCGTTTAAAGGAGAGGTTATAAATGATCTCTTCGTCCTGTAAATATTTTCCTTCGCGTCTGATGGTTCGGTTCCTCCCGCTGTTTTTTTTCACCAGCCCTCTTTCTGCAGCGTTGACGTGGGGTGTGTGTTTGCAAACAGACATGCTGACCTTCCCTCAACGGGCTTTGGTTTCTTGTTGCAGAAGTTCCCCGAGCTGAAGTTCAAGTACGTGGAGGAGGAGCAGCCCGAGGAGTTCTTCATCCCCTACGTTTGGTCCTTGGTCTACAACTCCGCCGTGGCCCTGTACTGGAACCCGCATGACATCCAGCTCTTCACTATGGACTCCGGCTGAAGGAGATGCCCCGGCCAAGCCAACTCAGCTCCATCTCCTCACAGAAAACGAAACTCTGCACCGCGTGTTAATACGTGACCCCTTCCAACGCGCACCCTCTGACCCCAAAGCTTATGGAGAGTGAAGCTTGCCACTAGCGTACAGCCCGACGTCGATGGTTTGGAAGCAGATTGCCACCGACACGTGGCAACGGGCTGTGGCGCGAGGAACTGCCGGCTTGTAGGCAACCTTGTCTTTCCAGTCCTATAACCTAGAGCTTGTTTGATGGAAATGAGGCCTTACACATGGGGTATGATGTTACTACCGACCACAAACCTGATTGTTCTTTTAACTGGACGGGGTAAATGAGGAAAGACATCGGGGGCTTTGATTTGGAAGCAGCGTTTGTATTTCTGTTTCTTCCAAGCTTCGCTGGGTCGAGCTTTCTCTGGTCTGTTGGGTTCTGCCCCAGATTGCTCGTTACCTAATCCCACGCTCTCGCTCACAGCCCTTTAATTTGGTGGCACTGTCAAGGCTGCGGTCGTTAAATTGGTGCCTAAGCGGTCGTCTGAGTGACCCAAGCAAGCAGCATATTAATCAGGTTAGCTCCCAGGCAGATCCAGAACACTTGATTTCTGTGTCAAAATGTTTGTGGGAGGATTTTCAATAGCGAGTCTTCTATTTTTTTTCCTGGTTGTTTGACTGGCAAATATTCTGTAGAGGGCTTAGAAACACCAGAGTTGGGTCCCTTACAGACTTACTTTACTGTGCTCCTGTGCAAAAGTTGTTCCTGGAAATGGAGGGGGAGGGGGGAAGGAGGGAGAAATCTCCAAAGAAAATAGTTATAAGATTGTAAAACAGACCAGTGTCCTGTAAAAACGTGTGTGATGGTGGCAGTGTGTCGTGGGGAGCCTTGGCCAAGTTCTGTGTTGAAAATCCCCTCTTTGCTATTAAAGGTTTTATGGCAGAAGTATAAATTCATCTGAATGTAGAATACTTCTCTTTTTTTTTTTTTTATGTTTGTTTTAAAGTGTCCTTTCCTGATATACCTGTTCCCACAACTGGAAGAACAACAGAAACGGCTCGGCCTGATTTTGAAAGCCCATCTCATTTTGCCAAACGTGGATGATTCCTCCTCTGGGGAGGCTCCGGACGGTGCCCGCTGCCCATGCGCGTGCCCTCTCCTCATCCTGCACCCCAAAACCAGAAATATCAAGGAATTAGTTCCGAAACACACACGGCAACCCCTTGTATTCGCCGCCTGCTCCAGCGTGTTCTGGTGACTGGCCTGAGGAACGGCCTGCATTTGCTTCCAGACAGTCCTTCCAGTGGCTTGACATAGAATTTCTTGCACCCTGTTTTGCTCCCTGAAGGTTGCGCTAGGGATATACTTTCCTTTTATCTGCTTATTTAGTGGTGGAAATCCATTTGAGTCCTACACAAATGGAAGTGCTGTCTTTAAAAAAAAAAAAACTTTCCAAATTTATTTAAATATAGCTACAAAGCGACGTATACAGCCCAGGAACATTTAGTACTTAAAAATGGCAGAAGCTTTTGAGAAAAGGCAATAGTAAGACTGGAGATGCAGCTTTTCTTCAGAAAAATATGAAAAATGAATGAACCCTAACTGAGCTGCACGTAAGTTTACGCTGTGTTTTAGAACGTGGGTGGCTTTTTGTCTTTGGGCAAACATGAATGGCGAATGGCTCTTCTTGGTTATCACAGTGGTCTGGTTTTTGTCTCGATTAAAAGACATTTGGGGGCTGCCCAGCCTTTGTAAAGGTCGGGCTGAAGATGCACTTTGAAACTGTGGATGCCGAAGCTACCGCGATGGCTCCATTTCCATCTGTCTTAACCACCAGTGAGCGCCCGAACCTGCCCGGAGGTGAGCACCTTCCAACCCCCTGCCCCGGAGTGCGGCACGAAGGAGGGCTCAGCCAGCACAGACATTCATCAGCCAGATGGCAAACTGGAGAGAACCTGATTTTTCATCTGAAAGGGCGTTTTTGAAAGAGGAGGGTCTGAACATGAGGTAGAACTTCTTCACTCTGAGGGTGACGGAGCCCTGACCCAGGCTGCCAGGGAGGTTGTGGAGTCTCCTTCTCTGGAG